CCACCCCCCACCCCAGGGGGGGGGATTTCTCACTTTCTGTCTCTGTCTCTACAGCAAGCTCACACACCCTATAACAAAAATCTCTCTTAAAAAGAAGAAGTGATTTGATAAAACATTCAGCTAATTGGTCATAAGTAAAGCTTGCGAGGCTGGTTTATATCTCTAATCCTCAACCTATTCTGAAATGTAATTGTGATCAACACTGGATGTTCATCTTCAATGGGAGGTATGACTCACTTAGCTGAGTAACTAACTTAATGTTTTGTTTTTCCTTTTGATCCCCACTGTGCCTCCAATCCAAGGAGCACACCCAATCGTCCTGTGTTCACCGGTTTCATCTCCAGATTACAGAGCAAGCTACTGGTTCATCAGAAAAGTCATGACATATTTTCAGTGTTTTCCTATGCAGAAAGGTGTCATGACTTTTCCCATGATCCAGTAGTTGAAAAGGTGAGCATTGAAACCAAACCTAAGTCATATATACATATATGTTTGTTAGAGATTTTTTTGCTATAGGGTGCATGCGCTCACCAGAAAGAGAGACAGAGAGATAGAAAGTGAGAAATCACCTCCCAGGGGGGATGGCCACGCCGCAATCCCTCCTCCTCCATTCTCCTCTCAGGATCTTGGGCACGCACACACACGCGCCTGGTGTGAGTTTAAGCCACCGGGTCCAGGACTTGAACCACCGTCGACCACATGGGAGTTCAGCGACATAGCCATTACGCTAACTGCTGGTACCCCTAGGTCATATTTTTAAATGTCTCTTTCTTTACTAAAAAATAACATTTGGAAGTATAAAATAGTTCAGATTATATAGGATAGTCCATTGTTTGCATATTAGATTGTAGATGTCCAGAGGTCCGCGTTAAGCCAATGGTCTCATTTACGAAAGATGAGAACATAACATGGAGAAGTAGGATTTTAGTGAGAAGCTGGTCTTGAAGCTTTTGCATGAATCCTGCACGGTGTGAACTTGAGTCGTTCCCGGGACCCTTACGGTCATTAGCTGTGATGTCTAGGGAAGGAAACTGAAGTCCAAATACCATCCTGGCTGTGGGAGCAGGGTTGGCACATGCTGATGTGCAGGAAATGAACAGTTAGTCATGTACTCTTTGGAGGTCTAATCATCTGGGATTTATTAATGAGGCCCCTGCTGGCTAGCGAGAGCAGATACTTGTGTATAATACCGAGATTAATTGAATGGCTAATTAGGATGTGAAACTGATTCCCAAATGGCATGCAGCGAACTGGCACTAAATATCTCCGAAACTACAAAAGGAAGAAAAAAAAGAAAGGAAAGGGACAAAAGGCCTTCGTTAATGAACCCCTGGCTTTATCAGGAATGATCTTAGAAAGTGCAAAACCTTTGACGTCCCTGACAGTTGCCCAATTCCTTCTCGCTGCCCTCTTCATTTTTTTAAAAGTCTCACTGCTGAATTTATCATGATTTTCCTGAAAACAAAGGGGGGGGAGGAAGAAGTGACCGTTTTAAAACAGATCTAGAGAAGCTTTGAAAGTCACCCTCCCACTAAAATAAGTTTCGATGTCAGTCGCAGTGCTTCTGTGGCTAGTGAGTTTGCGCACTCCTGCAGGGAGGAGGCCCAGCATACTGAGAGACCACAGCCCTGCAGGGAGGAGGCCCAGCCATGCTGAGGGACCACAGCATGGCCAAATGCTCCCAAGCAATTAGGAGTGATTAAGTGTTTATCTTCTTTACAGGTGGGAAGGAAAGAATGAAAACGAAGTGGGCAGATGTAAAGAGACCGGCAAAGTTCACGTGACCGTGGATCTCAAATACTACCGACCCACTGAAGTGGTAAGGACTCCTCCCCACTCATCGCGGGGGGGCCCCATTTGGCCAGCCGGCAGGGAAGAGGCTCCCGCAGAATGCCTGCTGCCAACCTTCAAAGCTGTTTGGCCTTCTGGCACTCTTCGGCAGGCATCTCCCAAACCAGAACACAGTGAGTTACATCTGAGATATCATTCTCACCGCAGAAATCCATAAAACAAGAGCAAAACACAAGAAATGGGGACTCCTGCCATTGGTGTGTTCGTCTCCCGTTCTGAGGGTGACCCCTGATACCCACAGCGTGCCTGACTTACAAAGCCCTCAGGGCCTGCAGGATCTCTGGGGTCTACAAGACTTACCTGCCTCTCCGGCTGTGCCTATCCACACTCGTGCCTGTTCACACCCACTCACACCCACACTCATTTAGGTGTACACTCTCACATGCACACCTAAACACCTACGCCATAGCCATAAACAAGTCTCTTAAACGTTTTTTAATGGCTGAGATCCCCTTTCTCTTGAAGCCTTTTGTAGACAATCTACCACTACATGTTGTATGTTGTGCATAATTCTTTTATAGTACTTATTATAATTCATTATCGTTTGTTTATTTATCTTTAGCTTTGCCAAATTTGAATTCTTTTGAGGGTAGTTTTTTTTTTTTTTTAAGAGGTTTTTGCCGTAGGGTACGTGCTCTCTCTAAGGAGAAAAAGGGAGAGACAGAGATAGTGAGAAGGAAAGTGAGAAATCACCCCTCCAGTAGGGATGGCCACACCACAATCCCTTCTACTCCCAGGATCTTGGGCATGCGCTCGCGTGCATGAACACACACGCCCAGCGTGATTTTCAAGCCACCAGGCCTGGGACTCAAACCATGGTCGGCTATGTGAGAGTCCAGCGATGTAACCACTGTGCCATCTGCTGGGGTCCATTGAAGATAGTTTTTAAAAAAAATCTTAAACTCTAACAAGGTAGGTATTTAATGAATATTGACTATCTAGCAGATGGATGGATGGCTATTTGAACCCAGAACTTCCTACATTTAGACTGTTAAAGCATAACATCTTTCTTTCCTAAATGTGTAAGAAATGCATAGCTTGATATTATTGCTTTAATGTGGCCTTCTTTCCTGTGGGGACAAAGCTCAACGTTTTCCTATGCTCTGAACTAAGTTCCTATGTGTGTACAACCTTTCAGACGTTAGGAAAACCCCAGGGGAAGGAGACAGAAAAGTGACGATGTCATCATGAGCCATTCTTTCAAAGGTCTTATTTCAAATAAAGGGGGGGAAAACTACATTTCACGTACTCTAAACCCAGAAGGAAATAGAAAGGAGGGGAAATAACCAGGCTTGGGGAGAGGTAGGCCGCGGAGTCTGCGCATTGTCTGGGCCCAGGGCGGGGCCGGGGTTCTGACACAAGAGCAATTGTTCCTGGTGCTAATGGAGAGTGGGTGTGCCCAGAGAGGATGTGCCCCGTCCCTGGGGGAGGCTGACCCAGCCCCACTGTGCTGACACAGCACGGACGGTCCGGGACGTCTGCTGGGAGCCCCAGCCAGCTCCCCTTTGTTTTCCTATCCCAATGAGGTACCGCAGGGTGGCCTTGCTCTGGAATATCACATAGATCTCCGATATGGACAGACACATTCCTGCACACCGTCAGACATGATCATCTCAGGGTGGAAAGTTTCCCAAGCCAGCAGAAACGTCCACTCCTTTTTGTCTTCATTGCAACTGCTGGTTGACATGTCATCATTGTGCATCTGTGTGAGTGTTTTGTAGAGTGTATGCCAATGCATAGCCATCAGATCAAAAATAGAAACGTACTCACCATCTTTAACCTTTGACCCTACGTCATGCTGTGCGTAGTCGAGACTCACTCTGCTGACTTCTAACCTCAGCTTTACAACGGCTTCGACATGGCTCCCCCCCTCTCTGACACCGAAATAGTTTCAAAACCTAGGAAGTCATTAAGAGCTGCTCGTCTGTCATTCTTGCTTAGGCAAGGTGTGGGATTGATAAGGACCCAGAACAAAAGAATTTGCTGAACAGGAAAGGACCCTAGACTAACAAGACTGTTCTTGAATTGAATCCCTATGGACCCCTTTCCTGCCACAACACTGTGTCCGTGTCTTTTCTTTTGTTCATTCAAATGCTATCATCATACCTGTTCTGCAACTCTGTTGACGCTCACATTGTTTGAGTGTAAGAGTGGTGTCTGATTTCATATGCTTGCTTTCTTTTCCCACCCTTTTAGCTCCCCCTCAGACCCGCTCAGCCAGGAATCTCTTTCCTGCCTGATTTGGGAGCTTCAATCATATTTTACCTTATTGTTTATTTTAGAGAGAGATTTTTGCTATTGGGTACGTGTGCTCGTGGAGAGACTGAGAGATAGAAAGTGAGAAATTACCCCCCCCCCAAGAGAGATGGCCACACTGCAATCCCTTCTGTTCCATTCTCCTGTCAGGATTTTGGGCATGCACACACACACTTGCCGTGAGTTTTAAGGTGCCAGGTCCAGGACTCGAACCATTGTCAACTAAGTAGGAATACAGTGACATAACCATTACGCCATCTGCTGTCCCACGTATTTCACCCTTTCAGGCCTCTAATTTTGTCACTCCACTTCATCCTGAACAGTGAGACTACACTTTCAACTTCCTTCCTCAGGACAACAAGTCTTCCTAAAACCTGATGGCATTCTGTTGAGTTGCCTCCTGGGTAATAATACTCTTCCGGGTTAAAGGTGACCGCAGCTGGAAGCTGCAGGGTAAATGAACAACATCTCAACAGTCGTTTCTCCTGAGCCTGAATTTGTCCATCCTCGATATAGACCTGGAATCCTCCCATGTCTATATCGAATCCTTCCCCTCTCTGTGTGTGTCAGCCCATCCCGCATATGCCAGAAGCTTCTTTTCATTCTTCCTAGCTGTTCTCCTGATGAGCTTGGGATATGTGTCCCCCAAGTCTTCATAGGGGCACTCAAAGCCACAAACAAAACCTCCCTTCTCCTCCATCCACCTTTCAGGATTTGGGGCAACACACATGCTTCCTGGCATGTTTTGCAAGCCGCCGGATTGGATTTGAACTGCACAGTCAGCTATGTGGGATCCAGCCGCCTTAACCTCCATGCCACCTGCTGGTCCAAAACTAGGTCTTCTTAGAGTCATATGGTTCCAGAATGTAGATAGGGGAGGGGGCAAAAAGAACATGGAAAAAAATAAAGTGACAAGGATATATCTGGTCTTGGGATGCAGATGTCCTAAAGCAAGAGAGCTCCAGCTGCTGCTGTAGCACTAATGCTGGTGCCATGCAGGGCTGGAAGCCAGTGGTTGGCTGTGGGTTCGGATACCCAGGTCTGCTGGAGGGTGCACCAGGTATGAGCATGGGCATCTGAGATCCTGAGGAGCAAAAGGACTGGGGCCAGGAGAGTACCATGTGAAAAGAACTTGTCAAGGGTACTTCTCTTTCCTTGTTCCCACTCCCTCTCTCTGTCTCATGCAAATGCACGCAATTAGATACAGAGAGAGAGAGAAAGAAAATAAAAGAAGAAAGACTAAGGAGAAATATTATAGTACCCCTCTTATCCATGTTTCACTTTCAGCAGTTTTAGTTACCTATCATCAACTATGGTCTGAAAATAGTACGGTACAATAAGATATTTTAAGAGAGAGAATTTTTATGATAGCCAGTTGTTCTAATTGTTCTATTTTGTCATTATTGTCACTAATGTCTTACTGTGCTTATTGATAAATTAAACTTTATCGTAGGTGTGCATATATGTACACACAAAAACATAGTATATACAGGGTGCAATACTATCAGCAGTTTTAGACATCTACTGGGGTCTAGGAACATACCTCCTGGGGATAAGGGGAGGACTTTTGTAGAGCTTTATATTGCTTTTTGAGTAAAACTCACACTAATTTTAAGAAAAGTCCTTTAGGGCCAACAGGTGTGTGGTGGTTAAGGTGCTGGACTCCCACATATTAGATCACAGTTCAAGTCCTGGACCAGACAGCTTGAAAATCTTGTTGGATATGTGTGTGTGTGCCCAAAATCCTGGGAAGAGAATGAAGGAGAAAGGATTGCAGTGTGGCCATCCCCCCAAGGGATGATTTCTCAGTTTCTCCTTCACTGTCTCTGTCTCTCCTGTGAGCTCATGCACCTTTCAAAAACATTAAAAATTTTTTTAAAAAGTCCTTTATGCAACAGGACAGGTACTAGCCTGATTCAACATAAAACACTTATGTAGTAGTTTGTTTTCTTCATTGATTAAGCCACGAGATCTTAAATGTTGCTCCCATGTCGGCAAGAAAGGCCTGAAAGTTTTTGTTCTGGGCTGAGGACACCAGTGTCCATTGAGAACTGAATCAAGCTGCGTTTTGGGTACTCTGCCATGAGCCCCTGTTAGATGCGTAGGAGTTTTGCTGCTACAGAGAACTTGATCCTGGTAATTCTATTTTTTAAAAAATAATTATTTATTTAATTTTATTTATTCATTCATTTATTTTAATTTGACCAGAGATAGAGAGAGGGAAAGTGAGAAAGCAAGCCACCAGGTCTGGTACTCGAACCACGGTCGGCCATGTGGGAGTGTCCAGCACCTTAACCACTACGCCTCCTGCTGGTCCCTGGAAATTCGATTTTATATTTCCTATCGCCTCTGCATTCCAGTATTTGGTGATAGAAATATTAATACGTGAGCTCTGTGCTGCCCAAGATTCCTGCCTTGTATGTAGTTCCTACACATATACCCTGGTGCACAGATTTACTGCATCGCACGTTCACGTCCAGGGAGGAGGTAGAATGGTGCTTTAATGTGGGCCTCTGGGCCAGACTCTGGGTTCAGCATCTGTCGGTTGCTAGCTGCATAAATTTTGGCAAGTTGCTTAACTTCTTCTCAGTGCCTGTTTCCTCATCTTTAAAGATGGGGTTGACAATAGAATCATTTTTGAAGAATTGTTGGGGAATTAGCAGTACACTGGACAAAGCGCTTAGGAGGACAGTGTCCGGCATACAGCAAATA